TGTTAATTATGTGGTGGTTGACTGGATACCTCTGTGTGTGTGTGTGTGTGTGTGTGTATAAATGGCTTATAATCTTAATTGAAACTGATAATAAATAGAAGAAATCAGTTGAGGTGTATTAGATTTTTTGTTAGTGGGTTGGTAGCTCAGTTATTCAGAAGGAAATTTTCAATTAGATAAAATGACTTAGAACTGTGTTCCATATTGGATTTTCAACCCTCAGCGCTTTTTTTCTGAATTGAATTTAACTACCTATTAACTACCTCAGGAGAATTCTGAGCTTTCTATAGGGCTGGGGAGCCTTTCCATTGTAAGTGTGTATATGGCAAGCAAGAAGATAGGAGAAAGTCATTTCAGGCAAATTTGAGATAAAGATCCATCCGATGGTGGACCGCACGTGAAGCAGTGAATGTTTCCCTCATTCTTCAAATCACATAGTTTATTTCTAGCGCAGGATGAATGAGCAAGGAATAAAGAGAACAAAAGTTTCTTTCTCAGTTCTTTCCCAGAGCACACAGTTCTCAAGAGGTTCCTGTTTTATTGTCAAGGAGAGAAAATGGTCTCTGCTCTATTTTCCAAATTTAAAAAGATATTAAATAAAACTTTTCTGTATAATTGTCTTAGAGTTGCAGAAAAATTGCCAAATTGGTCGAGTTCCCACAGACTTCCCATCCAATTTCCTCTATTGTTGATATCTTTTGTAAGTATGGTACATTTGTTACAACTAATGAACTAATAATACATTATCATTAATGATACTCTATGTTTTATTTGGATTTCATTAATTTTTCCTCTGATGTTCATGTTTTGTTTCAAGGCCCCATCCAGGATACCACATTTCATTTAGTTTTAGTATTTCTTTAGGCTCCACTGGGCTGTAACAATTTCGCAGACTTCCCCTAGTTTTGATGACCTTGACAGTTTTGAATATTGGTCAGGTATTTTGTATACAGTTCCTTAGTTTGTGTTTGTCTATTATTTCTGTGAGGAAGATCACAGAGGCAAAATATCATTGTTAGCACATCATATTAAGGATTCTTGCTATCAGTGTGACCTATCCCTGTGGATGTGAAATGTGATGTGGCTGAAGTATTAATTGTCAGGTTTCTTCACCATAAAGCTACTTTTCTCCTCTTTCTGTACCACACTATTTAGATGCAAGTCACTAAGCATAACCTATACTTGAAGAGTGTTGTGCCCTATCCGGCTTTGAATGGAGGATGTCTATTTAAGTTATTTGGAATACTTTTAAATGAGAGTTCGGTATCTATCTCCTCCATTTATATTTACATCAGTATGTACTCATTGAAATTTATTTTATACTTTAGGTTTTAATCCAATAATATGTTACTCAGATTATTGCTCAAGTTGCTCCAGCTTTGGTTCTTGGGAGTTTTTTCCATTGGTCTCTGTGTCTACAACTTTTGATTCTTAATTAGCTTACATGAATTTTAGGGTCCAGCAGGGATATAGCCTGTTAATGCCAAGGGTGGCATGGGTTAGAGAATATGAGCTCTTCTCAGGGCAGTCTTGATACCAACAGCTGGTCCTTTGGCAAAGGTGGTGACATTTCAGCTTGTGTCAAAACAATGCACTAAATAAATCAACTGCAAGAACCACATTGCATCCCAGAAAAATATTGTTTCTACTTTTATTTTTTCTCAACTTCTCTCACATACGTTGTTTAATATAGCTTACCAAAAATGAGTCATCTTATGTGTGCCACATTTTAATTACTTCTGTGAGTCTGCAAGAGTAAAGCAGTCTCCACATCTAGATAATTAAAACACACTCACACAAACAAACACCTCATTCCTTTGATAATTACTCCCGGGATAATTCCAGTTCTTGAACCTGTTAAAGAGTGCTGTCTATACCTACATTACTGTATTAAGCCAAACATCTTTCCAGTGTCTTTTGGTTCTGAGGGAGGAAGGTTAGGAGGGAAAAAAGTGGACAAATTGATCAATTATTTTGGGTTTCAAGAGAGTCACCTTAAGTTTACGGATGGCTGCTGAACTTTTTCTCAGTGAAACTCAAATGTGTCAAATTTCCATTTAACAATTTAAATATGACGTTTTTATCGTATTGGGAAGGAAAATCACTTATGAACATTGCCTCCTACTTCACAGAGTGCCAGTTGAGCCACTGCAGTTTTCCTGCAAAATCTGTAAATGTTTTATGATGTCCTGCGCCAGCCACAATAATTTATTTGAGGTTCTCTTTTTCCCTTAGTGTCCATACCACATAGTTTCTATTTCCTTTGAAAGTTGTCATTTTTGCACCTTACTACAAAATTGTTGACATTGTCTGGTAATATAGTCTTTCTCAGCTGAGCAGGGAATTCCTCATGTGTAAAGCAAATAAATCTCAGAGGCTTGAAAGAAAATTCTCCAGTATTTTCCCCTGCTAAATTGTTAGCACATGTTCTTATTTTGTGGGTCAAGATGGAAATGTGAATCAAATAAAAAAATATTTTCTTCCAAATATATGCATATGTTTAGCAAAAATGATGTGTTACAAGGGCTCACCTACTGTGACTATCTCTGTAGCATTGCCTCGTTCTGGCAAACCTAAGCTGTTCACGCTAGAGGAAATAAGCTCTTTGGCTTCTTTGAAATATATTGATTTATTTTTTCATAATAAATGGTCATCATGTCAAATTTTTTAAATACAGAAATGGTAAAGGAAAACAAGCCAACTCTAATCTTGCCACTCAGAATGAAATAATTCTAATACTTTTTCTAAGTCCAGTTTGTGCTTCATATGGTTGTAAACATACTATATGTAAATTTGCATCTTACGTTTGTTTTTTACTTATATACAAAATATTTTCCCTTTTTTTTTTTTTTTTTTTTGAGACAGAGTCTCGCTCTGTAGCCCAGGCTGGAGTGCAGTGGCACGATCACGCCATTCTCCTGCCTCAGCCTCCTGAGTAGCTGGGACTACAGGCGCCCGCCACCACGCCCGGCTAATTTTCTGTATTTTTAGTAGAGACGAGGTTTCACCGTGTTAGCCAGGATGGTCTCGATCTCCTGACCTCGTGATCCGCCCGCCTCAGCCTCCCCAAGTGCTGGGATTACAAGCGTGAGCCACCGCGCCCGGCCACTATTTTCCTGTATTATAAAACTTTCCTGATCTGCTTTTAATGGCTATGCATATTGCAGTGATTTTAGCATACCATCATTTACTATCATTTTACTACTTAACAGTATTTGAGATAAAAGATTTAAGCATAAAGCAACTCTACAAAAAGAAGTTTTGAAATGTTCTGATTATAACCTGGAGAGATACTTACTGTTTTTATTTATATAAAATAAGAAAAGCTGATACACTTACATGTTTTCCTTTCATTAAAATTATATAATCATTTTACAAAGCTGATAGCTTTTCTTTTAAAATGACCATTTAAATTGCATATTTAAATTATTTTAACGAGGTTATCTGAGTAAGAAAGATAGAGTTTCCTTTTTAAAAGGAAGTTAACATATTTTAAATGAATCAGTTCACAAAGAAAGCACGCATTATGCACTGACCAATCTTTTACTCATTTTGGAATTTGGATAGTGACTTCAATACCGGTAAATAGATTCAAGTATTAGTCATTTTTGCGTGAGTTCACTAGTTTGATTTTCCTTAAAATTTTATTGGTGAACTGATAATGCTTCCATATTGTTAAAAACATTTCAACATTTGTTATCTCATTTGCGTCATACCAAAGTCCATGGCTTTTGCATCAAGTTTGTCTAATTGCAAGGACCACTTCTGTGATGCTTGTCAGTTTAACTCCAGAACCTAGGAGGATGCTGCCACGTAGCAGTCAGTTAATAAATGCACATTAAAATCATGACTGTTTTTCTCTGCTAATATTTTTCAAAGACTTTAAAATAACTCCTTAAGGAATTGGGAGAATTGGAATGGAGAACTCCTATCTGGACCATAGTGTGCTAGAGAGGCCTGCGTAGCGGAAGTAGAGAAAACTTAGAAATGAGGTATTACTATTTTAAATTACTTGTGAGTGGATGTTAAATATAGATTACAATACTTACTCTAATTATTGTCATCTGACTGGACAATAATCGGTGGCACACAGCTGTAGTTCCAACTACTTAGGAGGCTGAAGTGGGAGGACTGCTTGAGCCCAGGAGGTCAAGGCTGTGCCGAGCCAAGATCATGCCACTGCATTCCAACTTAAGTGACAGAGTGAAACCCTGTCTCAAATAAATTAAAAAATGTCATTTTAAGGCCAGAGATACTGAAATTATGATTTGACCTTTTCTCTTTGGTTTTAGTATACATAGCATACATTTATCCAAAAGTAATGATTTCCAATGTAAGCCATAAGTCAGTCACATTTTTTTGGTATCCTGATTATGAGGCTATCTTGGGTATTCAAAGCCTCTCTTGTGTGTCAGGTATAAAATATAAATTTGGGGGTATTGAAACAGTTTTAGCATCTTTGTGTGTGTAGAATGTGTCCATCCAGATGTAAGTCACTTTACTTAACTAGTAAGGCATATAAGAATTTTATTTAGTTGAATTAAAACAAAACTGTCTAATTCATTAATACATACTAGAGAACATGATGATTAAAAACTTTGAATTTAGAGATAAACTGAATGCTTATGACAGCTATACCACTTGTTAGCTGTGTGACCTTAGACAAGTCGTTTAATCATTCTAAAACTTAGTCTCCTCAGCTATAAAAAAGGGAAAGCTATAGTGCTTATTTCATTATTATGATAATTAAATGAAGTAATAAAAATATATAGCATAGTATTGGGAACAGATTTTTTAAAAAGTTAAACATTTGCCATTTATATTCCATTAAAGAGATTGTCTACTTTAGCATAGTATGAAAACAATCTGTTAGAATGAGAGTATATAGAAATTTTTAATTCTTGTATGTGGATCAATATGTATTTGCCATCCAATTTAATAAATATGAAGTAATATAAAAATCTTGATCTGCGTGTTCATAACTTTCCTTGCACCCCCAGATTTCACCTGTGTACACGATGGCGAGAGTGAGGCTGAATTAATACCTGATGACTTTGAAGAAAAACCAGAAAGAGAAAAGAAACATACCAACTTTACTTTGTGCAACGTATGTAACATTCAGCTGAATTCGGCCGCTCAAGCACAAATCCACTATAATGGCAAATCACATCAAAAGAGATTAAAACAACTCAGCAACGGGATGCTGAAAAATGACAATGGTAAGCTTTTCTAAAAATATTTCTCAATTTTACGTCATCAACTTAAGTTATTTGTGTACCTGCAGATGTGATGATAGAAGAATGAACTAAACTATTTTTTTAAACCAGGAAAATATTACATAAAAGCTTTATCAGCAGAGTAGATTAAAACACATCATTTCTCTTTGAGGGAGAAGGAGACATTTTATTTTTTGTACATAGTTAATTGTATTAGGGTTGTGACCTTCAGAAAATTTACTATTTTTGAGTTGTCAGAGTTTTAGAGTTTCTTGATGTGTGCCTTTAACATAGCTATGTATGGAAATAGACATCCTTTTACAGTGTGTATGGGACAGTGGATTTTTGTTTTTTATTTTTTATTTCCTGCAGGTATAGGGGATTCAATTGGTTAGTAACACTGCAATTGATTTGAAATAATGTGTATCTTTTCAAATAGGTGTTTTAATCAATAAGCTATGATCCATTAGTACAGACTTTTAAGTTTCCTAGTGAAAATTTATGGTTTATTTCATAAGAGTACTTTTTAAAAGTATGTGTTGAATTTATGAGTTAATAGATTTTCCAAATAGCACAAAAATATCTTTGGGAACAAATGGAAGGATATTAGAAAATATAGAGACATGAAGAGAGGAGGGTGGGCCCATCCAGAGGAGACTTTAGAGAGCTAACTCACTGCAACTTGAGTGGCAATACTATACTCTGATCAGATGTTTCATGTGTAATAAATATAATTCATCTAAATTATACTGACATTTTAAAATGTGAATGAATTTCAATCTCTTTCTATATTTGATATCATAAAGATTTTTAATATAATTTGGTAATTTGCTTCAAGGTGGCCAAATGATGGGAAGAAAAATGAAAGTAAGTTCTTAAAGTAGAAATTGCTTCTATCTTGCTTTATGTGTTTTTCATTTATTTGATTTTAGTATGAATGAACTGTAGTATTCTATTGGAAAGGATTTTATATTTCTTTCAAATGTATGACATTTAGTTAATTATAGATGTTATTTGTCAAAGAGATAGAAGAAACAAAAATTGGTCAGAAAGTAATTGAGAACTATTAAATTCTATAGGCATAAGAGAAACCTAGTGACACAGGACATTTCTTGATCACTTTTGCCGGCCAGAGACACCTGGCCAGTAATGTCCTTGCTCTGCCTTGGCCCATGGCTTTGGGGCTGGCTCAGCCCCGTGCTGTTTCTGTCATGTGGGCTGGCTGCCCTCTGCTTGTTAGAGGGCAGAGGGCCACAGTGTGACAGCCTTCTCTGTACCCATGTTTGGTGGGTCCTGAGCCCTTGTCACGTGTCTAAGAAGAATGAGGATATGCTGACAAACGAAGAGTGAGAAGGGCAGAGAATAATTTATTGAGCAGTGGAACACCTCTCAGTGGAGAGGGGATGAGTGGGTGGTCCTCCACCCCCATAGTTGGGTAGTTTCTCCCCCAGTGTGGCTGAGTCTGGGGCTTTTATTGGCTCAGAATAGGAGAGCACATGCTGTTATATTTGTGAGTGTGCAAGGGAAGGGTAAAGCAAAGGCATCACTCAAAGGTGGCCATGGCAGTGTAGAAAACCAATTAGAAAAGGGTTGGTATGTGTAAAATAGGTGAAGGGTGGGGATCAATCAGAGGAAAGCACAGCAAATGGGAAGACAGATTCTCAGTCCAGTCCATGGATTTGACTTGTAGCTTGGATTTCAGGCTTTAAACTGTCTTTGGCTTGGAGGTGGGTTTTCACCAGGGACCTGTCCCTATCTGCCTAGGCATTTGTCTGCTTCCTGCTGCTATCGCTAGCAAAGTAAGTCACGATTTTAAAATGGATATTTCAGTCTCTACTTAGACTTCTTAAAAACAATCTATACCTTATTGTTAACTTCTGGGTGAAATCACCTCAAGTACAGCGTGATTCAATTCCAAGTTGTTTTCTCTAAGTTTGTATTGGTCATGATAGTGTAAGCTTTGGTGTTTTACTTCACTTATCTTGATAGTCACAAACCTCATTTGGAGAAGCAATAAACAATATTATAGAACAAAACTAGAACAAAAGATACATCTTGTTTAGAAACCCAAATCAAAATTAGTCCCAGCCATAACGCAGAGTGGCCAAAGATTTTCAGACCACAATACTAGGTATGAGTTTACTCAAGTTAAATATTTTTAAACAATTATATCAATACACTTAGAGGTTAGCACTTTATTAAAGGCTTTATGTACATTTTACTATTCAATTTTTCCTCATAACCAGCCAAAATGATCTTGTTATATTCCTTTTATAGACATGGACATTGAGGATAACATCAGTTGATACTATGGTGAAGGTCACACACCTATTAAATGGTCGAACTTGCAATCAAACCCTGGTCTTACTCACCGAAGTACCTGTACTTCTAAACGCTGTTTCCCAAAATGAATATTCTGTAGAAACTATGCCTTTCTTCATTCAAACAAATCATTTAGGAGAACATTTAAAAATTAAAATTTTAATATATTCCTCAAATTACTTGATGAATGTAGTACTCAACAAAATATTTATTGCTGCGTTTCCTATTCAGATTTTTTCCCCAAGACATTTTAAGTATCATCATGTTAGTAGGAACATTTTCAGTGACCTGTCATTACTAATATTACTAACATGATGATAGGTCACCAAAAACAACCATGATTACTGGGAATACTGGGTCATCTTAGGTCCTATCAGTTTGGCCTGAAATTACACTTCAGAGGATGGTGGACATGTGGATGAGAAAAGTCAAGAATGGCAGGGTCAGGGCCAATTCTTGGGGACTACCTAGGAATTAGGGGAGATCCTGGAGCCAAAAGTGTCAATCACATTATCTGAGAAGGTATGATGAATTTGTCCTTAATCTGTGCTGCATCTGTTTTCAAGGATATTTGATCTGGTGTATGAATGTAAGAGCAGGGATCAATAGAAAGTGATGATACTTGAGGTAGGTCAGAAAACTCTGTAGTAATCCTTAGTAGTTAATTTAAGTTTCTAAGGACCCTGGCCTGTGGGATTGGGTTGTGTTGAGGCAAGAGCTGCCAAGAAGTCAGTGTGGTTCAAATTTCAATAAAGCTCAATGCTGGGGTCTCCTCCTAAGAAAACACCAGTAATGTGTGCTGGAAACTAGATGGAAATAATGGCATAAAGATTTAATCAACTTCTTAAGCATTAGGAGAAATACTATATTCCTTTACTAGATCTCAGAGTTAGGAAAGCAAACCTAATTCATTTCAAACCCTAACATTTGATAGGATAAGAATTTCTTAAATACTGCCAAGTGCCATCGGTAGGTGTTTGTAAGTGGGAATACAAATAAAAATATTTTCCCACACAATTTTGTTGAGTATTTTTTGCCTTATCCAGCCCCCTGTCAGGCCACACATTATTTTGCAACTGATCAGCTCCCATAAGGTTCCTAGCATAGTAAATTGTCATCTTTCTACAGCCATCAGACCAATGTTTGACATAGACCAGGCTACTCCGCTTTTTTTCTTAATGGACTATTTTTAAAGAATAGTTTTTGTGTTCAAGCATAACTGAGTGGAAAGTAAAGTTCCCATATATCCCCTCCTTCACACACAACCTTCCCCACTATCAACACCATGCACAACAGTGCTACATTTGTTACAACTGTTTAACCTGCGTCAACACATCACTATCACCCAAAGTCTATAGTTTACATTAGTGTTTACCATTGGTGTTGTACATTCCATGGGTTTACAAAATGTGTAATGACATGTATCCAACATCACAATATCATACAGAATAGTTTTGCTGCCCTAAAAGTCCTCTGTACTCTGCCTATTCGTCTTTTCCTCCCTTATAAGCACTGATCTTTCTGTGGTCCCCATGGTTTTGACTTTTTCAGAATATCATAAAGTTTGAATCACATACCATGTAGCCTTTTTATATTGGCTTCTTTCACTTAGTAATATGCATGTAACTTTTCTCTGTGTCTTTTTATGGCTTGATAGCTCATTCCTTTTTTAGCGTCGAGCTACCCTGCTTTTAAATAAAAATTATCCTGACCCTTTATTTCCCATAACACTGCCACATGAGGTCCTATGGCTGTACCATACTTTTCTGAGGATTTTCAGGTGAAAGGGTGTTGTAATTAAAGGGTTATACAACAGAGGGGAAACAGTTTATCCATTTGGGATGACTTTTGTCCAGGAAGAACAACTATAAGTGTTTCACTCTCAAAAAAAAAAATATTCCTTTGGGCACATTGTAGATGATAGCCTAGTCCTCTGCCCTTTGGTCTTTCTCAACTCCCTTTAAAAAGTGTTCCTTTTGGCCAGGCGCGTTGGCTCATGCCTGTAATCCTAGCACTTTGGGAGGTCACAGGGGCCGGATCACGAGGTCAAGAGATCGAGACCGTCCTGGCCAACATGGTGAAACCCCGTCTATTAAAAATACAAAAATCAGCTGGGCATGGTGGCACATGCCTGTAGTCCCAGCTACTTGGGAGGCTGAGGTAGGAGAATTACTTGAACCCGGGGGGCAGAGGTTGCAGTGAGCCGAAATAGCACCATTGTACTACAGCCTGGCAACAGAGCGAGACCCCGTCTCCAAAAAAAAAAAAAAAAGAGGGGGGTCCTTTTGTATTACCTGTGGTATGTAGAAGGGCATGCTCACCTATAACTATAGGTGGGTCTAGTTATAGGCCACAAATTTCACAAGCGACTTAGTGCTTTACCTTAATATAGAAACATATTATTTCTATCCTCCATATCCCCACTATTAAAATGTGCCTCTGCAGGCTTATTAGGAATAAGAAATGAACACAATTACAAGCCTTACACAGTTATTAATGGTAATTTCTTTACCTACACAGAAACCAAGCTAAAACTGTTGATTTGTACAAATAATAGATCCTGTAAATTCTTAGTAAGCACATCATCCTTTTTAGGTTATTTAGAGAAAGATATGGGAGTTCTTTGATTCTTTTCCTTAAACATGCACAATTGCAAAATGATTGCTTTGAACTTCCACCTT